ATGCCTTGGCATGGCTTGGCGCTCTCTGTGAGCCATCTGGCCTTGTCTCTTCAACAAGTCAATATTAAGAAAGAATATTTTAAAAAGGGAGGTACAGCATTTTACATCAAACAAGGCTTGAGAGACTGAAGAGTCAGATATAACCTGTGGCCCCTGATTGGATCCTGGCCTGAACAAATGTGTAGTAGGCATTTCAGGGACACTTGGAGACATTTTGATGTGACAGGCTATTAGATGATACGAGGAGACTACTGTTGCTTTGATGAGACGTGAGCATCTATGGTGTGGCCGGCAGCCCCTCACGTGGACCCAGCAACCTCCACCCCTTGGCAGCCACAACTTGGCGTAATTCTCTGCCTTTGAGTTGGGCTGGATCTAGTGGTTCGCTTCTAATGGGTGCAGCACAGCAGCCGTGATGAGATGGCGCTTCGGAGATGAGGGGACAAAGGGACTCTGGCTTCTGCCTTGGGTGTGTTTTTTCTTAGATCGTGCTCACGGAACGAGGGAGCTACCATGTCATGAGCAGCCTTAGAGAAAGGCGCCCAGCTAAGCCACTCCTGGGTCTGACACAGGAACAGGAAGATAAGGCACGTTGTTTCCTGCCTCTGTGTTTGGGGTACTTATGCAGCAATAGATAGCTAATACATGTGTTTACGCAGAAGAGTCGTATTTTTTGGAGATGCATGCTGAAGTATGTAGAGATGAAGTGTCATGGTATCAGTAATTTATTTTTTTTCTTTTCTTTTTTTTAAACATGTTTTTGATAGCTCTTTCATCTATGGCTGAATAGAAGACAGATGAGCTCTCATACCTTGTTCTACATTTAATCTGTTGCGATATCACGTGTCCTGTAGCCCGTGGAAAATTCCACTGTACGCTCATGAGAGAAAGTTCACTTTTAAATGGTTCAGTTCAATGAAGAGAGGGAAAAGGGTGAAGCAGATATGGCCGAATGTGGACAATTGAATCTGATTGCTGGTGCTTGCTGGATTCTTCTGTGTAACGTCCTGTGTGGTTGAAAATGTTTATAACAAAAAGTTTTTTGAAAAGAAAAGAAATGTAGACTCTTGGGCATCGGGGGTTCTGATTGGGTGGGTCTGGGGGTGAGGCCCAGGGGAGTATTTTAACCTGGGCTTCTGGCCTTCCCCGCTGCCTGCGAGGCCTGCCAAACCTACCAGGCCAAGGGGGCTTAATGGCTATGGCTCATCTGTCCTCCCACACTGGTAGGGGCAGCTGTGTGGGGACAGGACAGTTCTCCCACCTCCTCAGCAAACTCTGGCTTGTTGGCCGTGGGGAGGGTCTTGTTATCAAACTTGGCTTAACCACATCTTCAGTGGGTGGCTGGAGAGAGACTTTCTCTTCTGTGTGCAGGTGTGGGTTTTCTTTTTTTTTTTCTTTTTCTTTTTGAGACAGTCTGACTCTGTTGCCTAGGCTAGAGTGAGTGCCGTGGCATCAGCCTAGCTCACAGCAACCTCAGACTCCTGGGCTCAAGCGATCCTTCTGCCTGGGCCTCCTGAGTAGGCATGCACCACCATGCCCGGCTAATTTTTTCTATTTTTAGTTGTTTGGCAAATTTATTTCTATTTTTAGTAGAGATGGGGTCTCACTCTTGCTCAGGCTGGTCTCAAACTCCTGAGCTCAAGCAATCCTCCAGCCTCTGCCTCCAGAGTGCTAGGATTACAAGTATGAGCCACTGTGCCTGGCCTTGTGGGTTTTCTTTATAGGCTGTGATAAATATTTTTTTAATGACTTGTACTTTTTTTTTCATTGAAATAGGAATACATGCACATAGTGAAAATTTCAAGTTTATACAAAGACCCAGGAATGGGTCTCCTCATCCTGGTCTTCTAATCCCCCTTCCAAAGGCATCTACTGATACCTTTATTATATATTCTTTCAGAAATTATCTGTGCAAATGTACCCTCATCTATATAATTATATATATTAATTTCTTCTTTTTTGCCTTTATAGGGATATAATTTACACAGAATGAAATGCATGGGTCTTAATTTGATTGGTGACAAATCAAGATAGAGAGCATTACCAGTACTTGCAGAGGGTCTCATCTTGCTCTACTTTAGCCAAACTCTCTGGCAAGAAGTAGCCCCCATTCTGAGATCTGTCAGCACAGTTTTTGCGTGTTCTTAAACTCCGTACACATGGAATCACACAATGTGTGCAGTTTTATATCTGGCTTCTTTCGCTCAGCATGATTTTGAGATTCATCCATGTTGCTCATGTAGCAGTAACTCATTCCATTTTCTCACAAATAGCACTTTTAGAGATAAACTGGGAGCACTCAGTATACCCTCTTTCTCTTAATACAAATGTTTGGAGACCATTTTGCACACAGCATGTGCCATTGTGGGGACAGGACAGTCAGTTATTTAACCAGTCTCCTATTGATGATGGACATGAGGACTAGCCAATCTTTTGTCATCAGTGATGATGGCATTATAAGAAGGGAAAAACTCTAGAATTTATATGTTGGAAGTGAGCTTCAAAGTCAACGCCACCTTTATATTTTACATAGAGGAAGAGATGTCCAGAGAAGTCAAGTGACTTCTCGGTCATGTGACCCATAGAGACAGAGCTGCAGGACAACCGAGGTCTCTTGATGGCCTGTACAGAATCTTCTTTCTTCCACCCTAGGTTCTGGGAGGGCAGGAGCTGTGTTTGCCTCATTCACTACTGTAAACACAGCACATAGCACATAGTAGGTACTCATTAGATATTTGTTGAATGAAAACAGTGAAACAGTAGTATCTTGAGAAAAGATCGTCAATATTGTGAGAACTGCAAAGGCATTTCTGTAAGACATGAGCCTCAATATTCATTCACTTATTCACTCTTCATTATTTCTTCATTCAGCAAATGTTCCTGGGGTCCCTGCTATGTGTCTAGGCTGGGGTTTCTCAACCTTGACACTACGGATGTTCGAGGCTGGGTGATTCTTTGTTACGGGGGCTGTTCTGGGCACTGTAGGGTGCTGAGCAGCATTCCTGGCCTCTGCCCAGTAGATGCCAGGAGCAGCCCCTTTCCCTCCCCTAGTTGTGACAACCAGAACTGTCTCCAGACATTGCCAAATGCCCCCTGGCAGATAAGATTGCCCCCACTTGAGACCTACCAGTCCAGGCAGTGTGATACATGGCGGAACCAAATGGACAAGGTTCATGCCCTCATGGAACTGTCATTTGTGTTGAGGAAAGAAGAAATAACTGTTTAATGGGTTGTGCTATTGAGTGAAATATAGTAGGAGGCAACGATAGACTGAGAATGCCAGTTAGATAGGGAAGTCGAGGAGGCCTCCAAGCGGCTGGCACTGGAGCAGGTGCCCGAATGAAGCGAGAGAGCAGTGTGTGAACAGGAGGGGAGTGTGCGGCCAGGCCTGAGGGAACAGCTGGTGCAAAGGCCCTGAGGCAGAGCAGGGCCGGTGCATTTGAGAACAGCAGGGGAGGTCAGTGTGTTCAAAGAGCAGCCCAGAGGACGCAAGGTGGGAAAGGTGCTCAGAGGGAAGTGAGGGGAAGGCCATCTGGGAACTTGGCAGTCATGGGGACGCCCCCAATTGTTCTTAGTGTGATGGAAAGCCACTGGTGCTCTTGTGTTGGAAAGTGACATGTTAGGACTGCCTGTCCTCTGAGGAGAGTTCTGGAAGGCTGGGTTCAGGCCTGTGTGACCCATGCCAGGGATGAGGCTGCAGGGTGGGTGCCTTCCTTTGAGGATGGTGTCCCCCTCATCCTATCAGTGGCAGTTGGTGACAGCCACCCCCGTGTCTCATTTTGTGCCCTTCCTGGGAAAGCTACTTCCTTGCACTGGGCACTGTGGCCTGTGGCTCATCTCTGTGGCTGCCACTGCTGCCCATACATGGGCTTGCCTAGCAGCTTCACGAGGCTTCTCGATGGCCTGACCGTGTTTTCCTACCTCCTGGTTCTTTGTTTCCCTTTTGGTTTCTTTGGCTAAACACGAGAGTTATTTTTTCCCCTCCGCCGTAGCCCTTGGAGGCGTTGCTTGCGTTAAAAGGGCTTTGTGGTTAGCAGATAGGAGCGCCAACCACCGCAATGACAGACGGGCTATTTTTCCTCCCAGCTGAGTCATGCCTTGTGGCGGCACCCCTTTCCCCCAGACATGCGCACTGACTGAAACGTCAGCCCTCACCTGGCCATGGCGCCTTGTTCTCTTTGCCGCCGCCAGTCTAAGGACACCAGGGGAACACATCAAAGCTGGCCATGATGCCTTCCTGCGTTTCACCTTCACGAAGTTGCTTGTCATGGGTGTCTGCTTAAATTGTTTTTATCCATGGGGGAGTGTACCTCAGGCAAGCAGAAAACATGAATAGGTTGTTGTGGAGAAAAACCTGTCAGCAAATGGTCAAGGGAAGGCCAGTCTGAGGAGGTCCCAGGAGACTGAGGGACACAGGGTGGTGTTTCCCAGCAGCACTGTCTTTACAGCTCCTAGGAGTTGAATTATGTCCCCCCAAATTCATATATTGAAGTCCTAACCCCCAGTGCTTCAGAAGGAGATAAGGTCTTTACAGAGGTAGTCAAGCTGAAATGGGGTCATTAGGGTGGGCCCGAATCCAATGTGACTCGTGTCCTTAGAAGAAGAGGAAATTGAAACACAGGCAGACACAGGGGAGACCACATGAGGAGATGTAGGGAGAAGAGAAGAAAGGCCTGGAAAAGATCCTTTCCTCAGAGCCCTCAGAAGGGACCAACTCTGCCGACACCTTGATCTCAGACTTCTGGCCTCCAAAGCTATGAGACGACACATTTCTGTTACCTGAGCCACCCAGTCTGTGGCATTTGTGATGACAGCCCTAGCAAACTCACACAGCAGCGTTTTTAGTGGGTGTGTGAGCCTTCCCTGCCCGGGAGCCTTTAGTGAAGTTAGCTCTCTGGCACAGTTTAGGAGAAGCGTGGTGGCCACCAACACCCTCTCAATGGAAGGCAGTAGCTCTCGGGTCGTGAGATGACAGAGGCCTGCCTGGCTGGTGTGGAGGGAGGACCTCGGGCCTGGGTTTGATCCAGCTCCCCGCTCACTGTCTGTGTGACGTAACCTCTCCTCTGCCTCAGTTTGCTCATCTGTAACATGGGCCTGCAGGTGACAGTACTTCATTCCTAGAGTGACAGGAGCCCTACCGACTTAATATGTGTGAAGTGCTTAGAATGGTGCCTGGCACAGCCCTGTCCAAGCTTGTTGTTGCTGTTATTATGGGAAGGAGGCTCTGGGGAAATTCTAAATCCTCGCCCTTGGCAGCAGCACCACTGCGCCCTCCTGGCCCCACTCTCCGCCCCCGGGGTGGGGGTGTGAGAACACGGAGTCCATTGCATCACCCACGGCACATGTGGTTGGCCTCATCCTGTTTCCTACTGGCTGGGTTTCTAAATGGGAGGGATAGCTGTGTGGCCCCGGGGCGGTAGGAACCTGCCATGGTCATGCCCCAGCTGGCCAGACTGGAGGAAGGAGGGTGCTGGAGCCAGGGAGGAAGTGGGAGGAGGAAGTGTCTCTGCCTGCTCGAGGGGAAATTTTGGAACAAGCAGTTTCTTTCTGCATGTACTTTTGCTCTGAGCTTCCCTTTCTTTGAAACTCCCTAGTCCCGTGGCCCTCGGCCCTTGCTGGTTGGCCACCAGTGGGCTCCTGTATTGTCAATGCCTCCCCACTGTCTCCCCTCTGGGGAGCCCAGCCTGCTGTTTGGAGGATTAGCTGGAAGGGGCGAATGAATCACGGCCCTCTCGCCATCCTGAAGCTGTCTGCGTTTTTAAAAGCAAGACTCTCTGATCTCAAATGAATTTGAAATTGCTGGGGTTTCAAGCAGGGAGGAAAATGGAGGTGAAAGCTTTGACTGGTGTTGAGCTGGTCTCCGAGATGGGCCCCCACGGTCCTGCCTCCAGCTGTTTGTGCCTAGGCACGGTCCCTTCCCACGTTGAACCACTCAGGGCTGACCTGTGTCACCAGTAGGACACTGTGGAAGTGATGGTGGGTGGCTTCTGAGGCTAGATCATTAGAGACTCTCCTGCTTCTGCTCTGCTCCCTCGGGTCACGCCCTCTGGGGGAAGCCAACTGCCACATCAGGAGGACACTCAAGCAGTCCTGTAGGGCTGCCCAGATGGTATAGAACCAAGGACTCCTGCCAACAGCCAGCACCACCTTGCTAGCCATGTGAGGAGCCACCTTAGCAGTGCATCGTGTGGGCCCTGCCAGCTCTCAGATGACTGCGGCCCTGGCTGACATCTTCACTATAACCTGCTGGGAGACCTTGAGTCATACACGCCCAACCAAGCTGTTTCCAAATTCCTGACCGACAGAAACTGTGTAAGATAATAAATGTTTATCGGTGTAAGTAGCTAAGTTCTGGGGTAATTTCTTATGCTGAGTTAGATAACTAATACAACTGTAAGCATCCATGGTGTTCTGAGCGGGGAGGTGCCAGCTCCCCAGGCTGTGGCCATGGCTGCCTGCCCCTCTGAAGCTCCGCTTTTATCTGATTATTCCATATTTGTTCATGGTGTTCTCTCTCTCTCTCTATCTCTCTCTGTCTCTCTCTCTCTCTCTCTGTCTCTCTCTCTCTCTCATTGGGGAGGAGAGGACCTCCATGCAAAGTTTAGGTATATTGATTATAAGTTAGGGCATATTGAGAATGAGTTTGGGTACATTGATTTTTAAGTAAATGGGTAACTGTCTATATTTCACAAAAATATGTATCCACATATATATCTTCATAGCCTGGAGACTTTAGTAAAATGTCCCCCAAATGCCAATGGCATCCATCTGGCCATTGCTTCAAGCCCCCAGCATTTGCAAGTGTGGGGTGACATTTTCTCTCTGAGCAGCTCCCTTTTCTTCCAGCACCAGGGAAACATGCCCCAGCCTGTGACACTGCGTGGGGGTGCCAGCCCCAGTGCCTTTGCTTTGTCAGAGGGTACAGACTTCTGACCTGAATTATTTCAGTGGGAGGTCATTTTTATAAGAGGAGGTGCAATGTATATTTTAAGAAAGAAGGTATTTCACAAACACTTCAAAGAAGTCTTGCAAGAGGCCAATGAAAAACCCAACTTTTGTAAAGTGAGTCAGTGTGATTTAATTCTAGCTGATGGCTTTGTGGATTACCTTCAGTAAATTTGTAATTGACATATATGTGCAGAAAGTGCATACAGTGTAAGTGTGCAGCTTGATGAATTTTCACAAGGTACACACCTCTGGGTAACCAGTGCCCAGGCCCAGAAACGGGACATGACCAGCTCCCAGCCACCCTCATGTTCCTTTCCAAAGGTAACTCCTGTTCTGAATAACTCCATAGATTCCTTTTGCTTGTTTGAAACTTATTGTAATGGGACCATGGATTCCTTTGTGGCTTCTGTCTTTGTGTTCTTGTTTCAGTTGACATTAGGTTTGTGAGCTGGATGGAGTGGTACTTCATTCATTTTCATAGTTGTTTATAGTCTAATAACTTTCTCTGGACGTGTCTTTTTCTCACTGCTTTTAAGATATCCTATTTTTCACTAGTTTCTAAAAATAATTTGATTATGGTATGCCTTGGTGTCATTTTCCTCATTTTTTTGTGCTTGGGGTTCATTGAGCTTCTTGTGTCTGTGGGATTAAAGTCTAATAGTTTAAATCTTTGTGTAGAAGAGGAGTTCCTATAGTGAATGTTCTGGTCAGCTTATCAAAATGTATTTTAGAGAAACTTCTTGAGAGAGTTTAAAGGGATTGTTAAGCCAGCTTCCCTCTTGAGCTTTCACCTCCTAAGGTCACTTGGTTAAGAATGGTGAAGAAGGGTGAAGAAGGGTTTGTCTTGCAGGGCTGCTGAAGAAACTGCCAGATTGTGGTGCTCTTAGCCGCTGTTGTGGATTCAAAGTCCGCTCCCTGGGGCCCCGGCGACTCTGTGTCCAGTGCCTGTGGTTGGTTATCAGCCAGCTAGATGCTCACCTGCTGCACTTAAGAGGATACCTGTCTCTGTTTGTCAGCCTAACTTTTTTTTACAGATAAAAAGTAGTAAGAGAAAAATCAAGATGAATTCAGAAGTTAAAAAACAGTAGGGAAAAGTAAGTATGCCCTTCACACATGCATTGCCACAAATTATAAAACTGATGGATGATGGTGCATGTTTCAAAATCACTCACATTTTACATGTCCAGTGACATCAGTTTGGTTTCCTAGTCTTTTGTGCTTTGTATATGTGCAGATAAAACATCTTTCTTATATCGATTCTTGAGTGCATCTATGCAGTGACATCCAAAGCATTTAGCTGACTGCTTGGTAGAGTTTTGTCCCTAGAGATAGCTATAGTATTAATAACACTCTTTGTAGAATAGAGGTGGGTATATGTGGCTGGCTAAGCTTTTTTGGTAGCAGGGTTCAGCAAACACTTCCTTTTATGCAGGTGCAGACAGTAAATAGACATGAGTCACACAGGCCTCTGCCCTCAAGGAGCTCCCAGTCAAGTGTGGGAGGAAGCAAGTTTGTAAATAATTATTCCAACAAAATGCAGTTTATAAGTAAGGTTGACATTACAAAATATTAGTGATTAAAACACAATGGACAGGATGCAGGTAATGAAATAGAGTGCAAACTAGGAAGGGAACAAAAGGTCACACTAGACAGTGGCTCTCAAAGTGCAGCCCCCAGCAGCAGCAGCAGCTTCCCTGGGAGCTTGGTAGAAATGCAGAGGTCCTGGCTCCACCCCAGACATGCTGAATTTGAAACTCAGAGGGTGGAGCCTGGTGATCTGTGTTCCACCAGCTCTCCTGGTAATGCTGAGAACCACTGGTCCAGGCGATGAGCAGACACCAGCCAGTGTTCTGTTGGGAGCCTATGACAGGCCGTTTTGGTGCTCAGGTGGTTTCGCAGTTGCCGGAAGCCTCTACACAGCTTGCTTCCTTTTGCTGGGGGACTGATCATCCATTGCAGTCATTAAACGACAATATCAGGGAGTTTTTCTGAATTCTTACGTGGGGGGAAATTTTTACTTTGCCCATTAGGACAATTTAACCATTTTTTTTTCTTTTATGGATTGTGCTTTTGGTATCATTCCTAGTAACTCTTTCTCTAGCCCTATGTCACAAAGATTTTGCCCATTTCTGTGAAGCCATAAAGATCACTCACATGGGTTTTACACAGGTGAAGGCATCCCTGGTTGATGAAATATAAAATGCCACGAGATACTGCCTTTGTTTGGGTTCTCTCGGGAGTGGAACCTGAGACGAGGTTTCCAGTGCACGCAGGGAGTTTAGCTGGGAGGTGTAGGGACTCCTGGGAGTGGGTGGAGAAGTGCCACCAGGAAAGCAAGGCAGTCATTAAAGGCTGGGCTATTAATGCAGCTCACATAGTGGGCAACTGGAGCTTAACGCCACACTTTGGAAGCTCTAGGAAATGGACTTGCTGTGTCACGGGCCCCCAAGATCACCTCTGGGTCCAGTGATTCCCTAGGAGCGCTCACAGGGCTCAGCACATGCTGTGTTCATGGCTGTGATTATCACAGCGGAAGGATCTAGAGCCATTCAGCAAGGTGAAAAGGCACCAGGTGAAGTCTGAAGGAAACCAGGCACGTGCTTCCAAGAGTGCTTTCCAAGTGGAGTCACACAGAATGTGCTTAATTCCTCCCACAGTGACCGAGACAAAACATGTGAAATGTCCAGCAGGGCAGCTCTTAGAGACTTAGCACCCAGGGTTTTTATTAGGGGCTGGTCACTTAGGCACCTTCTGCCGAGCACACATCAAAATTCCAGAGTCTCAGAAGGAAAGTGGTTATTCAGCTCAAATCACATTATTTGGATGAACAGTTTAGGCACAGTGTACCATTGTTATCGATTCCAGGAATGGTGGGAACTTCCCCTCCTGAAATCGAGGTTCCCAGATGCAAGCAGGCCTTTCTAAGGAGAGCAGTCTCAGGCCTGCTATGTCAAGTGTTTTCTGCATAGATACCAAAGCACATGCCTTGGAATTATCCCATCCAAGGGACAAGGGAGTGGGGGTATGTATACACTAGGTCTTGAGTGTCATCAGTTAATACCTATTCCCAGTAATGCACTTGAGGCAAGCCATGTGAGTAGAGCCACCTTCTGTGGGTCCTATATCAATGACCTCAGGCACAGAGATACGGTTGGACATTAGCTGGAGCTTACCAGAAGGTTTTAAATGATATGAGTGGGGCACTGGCAGCATAGGACACAGTAGGTATTCCAGGAATTGGGTGGGGACAACAAAGCCATGTGTACAGGGCAGTTTTCATGTGCATGTGGTCGTGAGGCAGTATTACAACTGTGGGTGAAGGAACCAAGGTCGGGGTGTCCCTCTAACTTCCTTGGGGTGTGGCAGGAATGCCTGGTATAGGACATTGCTGGGCCTGGAGGTGCCGAGACAGCCACAGATAGATACCTCCTTCTGGTGTCTGCCATCAGAGGAATGGTAAAGTATATGTGTGCATGTTGTGTGTGTGTGAGCATTTCTGGGGCAGAAAATCCTGGTACATTTTTTATATTTTAAATTTCCACTTTGAATCTTTCAATTCTGAGCAGCATGAATAGGCAGATAAAAAAAAAATGTTTGCTCTAGCCTCAAACAGTCATGGCAAAAATTTTTTTTTTCCTCTGTCCACATGAGCAAATTAAGAGAACAGTGCTCTGTTGTATAATTTGAAGATAGTTGTTAATTTGCATTGGATTGTCTTCCTCGGGTGTGGCACGTCATGTGCACAGGGACGCGGGTCTGAGGAAAGGCAGTGGATGTCCCCCTGGATTTAAGCTCCTGTTACCCGCCTGCCAGAGAACTGAGTGGAGAGCTGGGAGCAGGGGCCCCGCTGGCCTGGCCGTCCTGGAGGAGGGGCTGGGGGGAAGGGTCGAGCCTGGAGCAGGAAGGAGTGAAATTAGACTGCGATGACATGGCAATGCAGCCCTTGCACCAAGGTGACATTCTTCAAAGGCAACTAACTGCAAGGCTGCTCTCTTCCCCTTAAGGCTGGCTGCCTTTTCCCGCTTCCTCTGTCGGTGTCTCCAATGCCCTGCTAACTGCCAGCTGCAGACCAGTCTTCCCAGAGCCTCCTGGAAATGCAGAGTCTCAGGCCCCACTGCTGCCCTCCAGGATCAGGATCTGTGGCTTAATGAGATCCGGCTTAATGAGATCCGCTAGAGATTCATGGCTTGCCCAGGGCAGACTCAGCTTCTCACCCGAGGCTGCACATTGACAGCACCTGGGGAATTTTAAAAGTTGCTGCTTGTTCTTTTTGCTTAAGGTTGCTTTGGCTACACCGGGTCTTTTCTGGTTCCATATGAGGTATAGAATTATTTTTTCTAGATCTTTGAAAAATGACGTTGGTA